TCAGTGGTCTGCAAGGATCGCTGAGTCTTAGAGGCCGGGGTTCAACTCCTCGCTGAGCACTTTAGTGGTCGAAAAATCCCTTCGGGGATCTCGATGGTTCTTGTTCGTGACCTGCAGCCCAGGACGCTTTATAGCGCCCACTTGAACATGAGATTGAATACGGTGACATCTCATAAAGGGGCATTCCGACACGGCTGCAGGTCTTCCAAGCAAGTCTTTAGACGCAGGATAGAACCATAGGGGGCAAAAGGAGTTTTTTATCTCTTTTTGCTCTATTTTACTCAAATGCTGACCCATTTAGTCAGTTTTAAAGGCCTAGAACGCTTTAAGCACTAATAGTACTTACCTTTGTAAGTAAGATCGTGACGTTCGTCGACGTGTTTCTTAAAACAGCCACGCCCAGTCTGGTGATGACAAAGGTATACTTCTTTGTCAAAATATGCCTTGCAGGCTGAGCAAATAAACTTTGACTCTTTTGTACCTTTGCAAATATTGCATCTGGATTGATAAAGAGCACAAGTATCCTTGCCGGATGCGCTTTTACGCTTGCGAGTGGTTGGAGTTAGGTGAGTACCAATTCCACTGCCAGACCCAACATCTTCATCTTCAACAGCACTGTCTGATTTTCGCTGACGTAACGATATACGATCATACTTTTTATCAATCAACTGGTCAGCAAGCTCACAATAAAACTGATTTGGAGACATCTTAGAACCATCTCCTTTTGCACCTGCATACAGTTTCCATGCATCCACAATGCAAATGGTCAATAAAGAAGTGTTGACACGCATAGACCACTCCTTGACTTCGAACTTCTTTTCCAAGCCGAGATCATCCTGACGAGATCTGTTGTGGCGGTCAATCTGAGAGCAAGTTTCATAATACTGCTCACAGACTGAGGGAATACGGATAGACAATTCCTCTTTTCTTGTCACGCCATGACGTGTACGCCATCTCTCGCGGTAGATTGGAGTTCCTTCGTTGGATGTTCCGACAGAACTAATAAAGTATCTGCGGTCTCGGTCCACCCACATCACTGCCATGAGATGAGGCCCGGCCACCGGCTTCGAAACTAGTGTGACGTGCTCTCCCTTTTCAGCAATCTCCAGATGAGATAGATATTTCATCGGATATTTCTTGGTAGATGTCTTCACTACACCTGTGAATCTAAGACCTTTCTCATAAAGTGATTCAGCCGTGTGGACAGAAGCAAAGTACGAATCCGCGCAGACAACACGATTGGTGTGAAACCATGACCGTAACAACCTCAAAGTCACTGCGGTTCCGTGTAAGTGGTCACTTTCAAAATCCTTTAAAGAAGTCTCCTCAGCTGAGACGACGTTCTCAATTCTTATTATGATTCCACTTTTTCCACATGCAGCAGTCTTCAACTCACAGCCATTCTCGGGTTTTCGGTCCATGGCCACATAATGAGGAAGACCGGTTTCAATCCAATCTCCTCCAAGTCCATACCAGCGTGACATACTCTCCTCAACGCAGATGTTCTGTGATGGAATTACATGTGATGCTCTGTGATCATTGATTGCGACCATGAAGTCCCTGATCATACCCCATCTGTCATTTGAGTCAGCTGGAAAGCTGAACGTGACATTCTGACGAAGCTCCTCGAATCTTCTGCGGGAGATGATGTTTCCGAATTGAGGTTGCGGGGGATATTTGCTGGTTTTCTGTGAGCTCCAAAGAGACCTTCTGGTGCTGAATTCAATCCGAGTCATAAGGATTAGCACCCCGAAAAACTTCAAAATTTCACCTCTTGTAGTCAAGCGAAGTCCCCTTGATTCCATTGCATCGTTGGTGTAGGAAACCATTAATGCCAAGTGCTCCTGTGGGAACATCCACATGAAGTAGTCCATGGGATGCATTTGAGATGGACTGTGACCACGGGATATAATCTCATCAATCGGTCCAATCACCTTCCATCTTCTCGGCGGTATCATACCATTTAAATGCATCGTGACTTCCTCACGCTTCCAGGCCCGGCCGTGGACATTCATGTGGCCATCTTGGGAAACCATTTCGTCACTCTCGGAGATTCTCGTACTCGGGCTGAGTGCTCCTTCCAGTGGCGTCACGCGGTCCTCTGTAGGCTCCGGTTGCGCATAATGTTCAGTTTCTTGCTGGATATGATCTTCAGAACCGTCATCGATCAGGTCCATCACTTCACCAGCCTTGATGTTAGCTATGCGAAGCGTGACTTCCTTGACGCCATCTGATAATTCCCATTTAGCCCTGACTGAAGTGACACTGCGACCCTTCACTTTGTCAGTTTTCATGCTAATGACAGTTCCCGTGACCAACTTGATCTTCCAGGAGGCTCCATACATGCGACGACATTTACTCTGAGCTGTGAGCAGTCTTGCACGAGTGTGGACGCGGTTACCTGCAATAATTCGAGGATCATTGACGCTCACCATTTTGAAGAAATTTTGGGAAGAGGAAGACGAAAGTGTTGATTAGGGAAGACTGAGATACGGAATTGAATGTTTTCTGGTTTGCCGACGTTTAATACTCTAGTCGTAAGCTTTTAACTACAGTAGCGATAAATTTCTACAATTATTCGAATTGCAAAAGCCCGCCTAAAAACTGGCCTCATATGAGGCCATTTGTCACCTAGACATTAGTAGTGTCCTGCGCTTCCACCTCCGCCCCCGCTCGGGTTACACGCACGCACTAGTATTATGTGTAATGCGCAAGAACTTGACAAGTACGGTTGACGATTCAAGCTCTGAGAGCGAGGCGCAAGATGCGAGAACTTGACAACTTGAACGGATCGCTTCGTATCTATGTTTCATTTTCAATGTGCACGTAGTACAATGAGATAGCCCTCTCCAGATTGTGCGAGACCCTGTATGCCGGCGATCGTGTCAGAGAGCGGAAGAGTGGGAGACCGCGCGCTCCGATTGCGATCCGAGCAGTCGGTCTTCTTCCTTTCTGGCCTTGCCAAGGATGTCGAAAAGACTGCCTGTTGCACTTCTATGCGGCAATGGCTAGAGGAACCTCATCCCCACCAACTACGTCCTCTTCCAACGATCACCGCCGATATCCCCTCTTGTTACACCCGAACCAGTCATGTTTGTTAGCCCCAGCAATCAAGAAGTAATCAAACTTTACGTTCACAAGTGTTTTTACTCGCAGCTCTAAAAGATACGCATCTCAAACCCAGCATCTGTGTGCATTCGCTTTTGATTGTAAAACCAAGTATTCGATCGCCACTTGCTTGCATTCCACCACCACCGTTAGGGCGTAAAAGAGGCCCCATTTCCGAACCAACATTCTGTGAGCGTCCGTATAGTTTCCTCGTTTTCCTCGACTACATCTCAGAAGCCAGGTTTCCATAGTGTTTCCAACTCCCTCCCTGAACGTGGTGGGAGTCCAGTTGTGCTCTGCCCATGTTTTGCGTTTCCGTTCTAGAGGTAGTGGTCGACAGCATGTTCTCGCACCTGCTGACAGCTGCTGGGCGAGATACCGAGCTGGTTGGACACAAGAACTGGCGAAGATTCCAAACGCCGCGAGACTCGAGCGTAAAATCTACGTTTCAGCATGGTACAGTTGGTCTCTATATGGGGTACTCATTCTTTTCGAAGCGCCCCAAGCAGCTAGCGGGTGCAATCGAAAGGGGAGGGAGATAAGCAAATGATACAAAGGGTTTGTTACAAACGACTGGAAATGTGTGGATTGGAAATGGAATACTACTTGTGGCCTGCAACAATGAGAGAATCGTGCGATTCTCTTTGGGCTTCATTTCCTCCTAGGGTAATACTCGATAGCTCGACGTGTGTGGGTGTTCTTCTGACATGCAGCATTGATTGTTGGACAAATGGCCCTAGTGTTTTTCGATCACCTGCCAAAGAGAACTTGGAAGCTGACCTTGGAGCATCATATTAACGGTTGAGATACTTTGCATAAGCTCTTGAATGTGAATGGCTCTTCCTCTGTACGTGCACAAGGGTGAGGTCATGGAGTGTTACATAATTGCCATTTTGTGCAATGGGCGGCGCACGTCGGTTCGCGGATGTCGCAGTAGCAGTAGCAAGAGCCTCGAGCGGTCGGGAAGCGGTTGCAGTGGAGTTGAAGGGGGACGCCCAATGTGCGTGGTCCGCCCGAGTTTGTGTCGATGGCGGCGCTGTGGTGACAACGAGCCAAGCACGTTGCGCCGCGATGTGGAGAAGGATGTTGTAGTGCTGGGACCAGCAAACAACGGCGTGAAGCTCAAAGTTGGTCCAACCTGATCTACGGTAACAGGCGCCTGCTCTCCTTTGCTCCCAGGAAGAGAGGAGAGCAGACGCCAATTAGATTAGGCTTCGGGAAAGTAAGGCCGCGACACAGGAGATAATGCGTACGTACTTTGGGAGGAGGCAGTGTGGGCCCCGGTGGAGCTTCAGATTGGCGAAGCCGCCTTACTACACGACGGATCGTGTGATAAGGCAGCTTTGCTTGGCTTGGCTTGGCTGGGCATGGCTTAGCTTGGCTTGTGAGAAGGTCTTGCGCATCGGCACTGTGAAGCGGCAGCAGTTGGCCCAGCCACCGCAATTGTGCCGCTGCGTATGACATCTTCATCGACCCCAACTGTGCGGGTGGTTACGCCGTCAGAATTTGATTTACAGAACAAACGGCAATGCCAAGCAATGGCGTCGTCGACGAGGGATCCCAGATGCAGGGAGCCGACTGCTCGGAGGACCGCAGATTATCCGATGTCCGGCAGAGGGGGAAGGTCGGCAGGGGAGAGCGGGACGAGATGTGTGCGGATGGGGCCGGGTGAAGGTCGCCGAGGGCCGCAGGAGTAGCGGGGTCGTTGAGGTTTGCGAGCGGGCTGTTCGTAAGGGAGTGCGTTGCGCGAGAGTATTGGGCCTCGCGATGGAGGCGGCGGATGACACCGGCAGTGGCGGCCGCGTCGAGAGCCTGAGAGGTGAGGGGCAGGGGAGGCGTGAGGACAGTAAAGTCGTCGTAGACGTGGCGGGCGTGAGCGAGAATAACGGGCGATGGTGGCAGAGGCGTCAGCGGGGCGAGAGAGGGGTAGCGGCGAGTTGAGCGCTCCGGCGGAGGGCCGCCTGGGTGGTCTCGAAGGAGGCGAACGAGAGGGCCGGGGGCGCCGTGGGAGCGATGGCGATCGAGGTGCTGGCGGTGGGGGAGGAGCGGGCGAGCCGGTTTCTACGCGAATCGGGGCGCCGACGGTGCGCACTGGCGTGCGAGCGGCGGGGATGAGAGCGGGTCGGGCAGAGGTCGGGTCGGAGAGGAGAGCTCGAGCTTTGGCGAAGAGTAAGGATCGGTCGCGGTGAGCTCGCGGGTACGCGTGGGAGATCAAAATTCCCGGATGCGATCATCCTGCACGGGCCAGGCGCGGTAGACAACGACGGGGCCGCAATGAAGGCCCAAGAGCGAGGAGGGGTGCTGCGGTCAGAGCGCAGGGGAGCCGCCGCGAGTAGGGGCGCAGGCGAGACGGGGTGGGTGCTGAAATGGGATGGGGAAGGGGCGTGCGCATCGGTGCAGATGGTGGGAGACGGCGCGAGGAGGCGCGTGGAGCAGCGTTTTGGCGGGCGGGCAGGCGCGATCGGGCTCGGGGGGCTTGCTCAATGCTTGGGGCGGAATCTCAGGCGCTGGTGCTGGCGCCCCGGCGCTGGCGCAACCGCGGCGCCCCGCGAAGGCGACGGCGATAGAGGTGGAGTTGATATCCACTTTCCCATCCGAGAAAAAACTCATACTGTAGTCTTCACTTTTTGAACCACAAGTAGTTACTGTACTACTGTAGATTCATATTTTAGGAGTACAGTGGGATACACGCAATAGTGCCACCCGTTTCCACATGCCAGAAGGTGGCACTGTTCAGTGGTGGTACTACTAGCGGAGAGTGAAACGGAGGAAATATGCACCCCTCTAATGCTTACCTAGATACGCTTTAGGCATAGATAATCGCCCAGCACTGCTTGCCTCTCTCATGATCCGCTTCCCTGAGCCCGTGCATTGTGAGCGCATTGTGAGAAATGCTTTCTTCGCGCGTCGTCACATAAAACTTGCTTCCTGTAAATTGCACTCATGCGCCATTTTCTGTAGCCCCCAAAACAATTCCGTGAGCCAGTCCTAACAAAGGGCTTTCCTTTCGTTTTTCCTTTCCGTCGCCACGTTTTTATTGAGTTCTTCACTAAAATCGGAAGAACATTGCTGTAGTTTTTACTGTAATGCCATCCCATAGTTCCACTCCTCGGAAATGGAACAGAGTCTGGACGGTCTGCAGATCCATGCAGCATGGAAGATACAGCAACGCCTCCTCGCGCATGCACATGGCCCAGTCTGACTCCCTGTAGCTTGACAAAAGCAAAGCTGGACGACGTGTTGCTATAATGAGGTCCCTCGATGTGCATGACCAAAACGGTCATGATAGATCAGCAACCGGCAGTATCCAACACAGTCCTCCCCAGCACTCCCTTTCCTTCGTCAGGGTTTCAAACGTCTTCTCTACCAATGAAGTTAAGTCCTGAAATCCACCGCCGAATTGAGCTCGTCCTATTGCGAATGCGGCGTAGGAGGATGTTTTTATGCCTGCTCGTGGCTGCGGCAATTCTTCTCAATTCCAAAAAAGACAAGAAAACGCGGAAAGTACGCCTGGAATTGAGTTTGCGGGAACAACTGACGTTTGAAATTTTGACTCTGTTTTATGATGACGCTTTGTTCTGTAGGGCTTTCATAATGCCACGCCAAGCGTTTCATGAATTGCTTAGTAGCGTTGGGCAGTCTCTCCAGATGAATATCGAAATGGGACGACGGGCAAAACGACCGACCATTCCACCGGATGTACGCCTTGCCGTGACGCTGAGGATGATGGCTGGCGCAAGTTATCTAGACTTAATGGGTACTTATCAGATGTCTAAGACATCAGTTTACAATGTGCTTCATTCTACGTGTACAGTATTGTCAGAAAGATTGCAGCTGCCCGGGTTGCCGTCCACAGCGTCTGGTTTACGTCACTCGGCAAACACTTTCGTGTTTGCGTAAAATGTGGAGGAGATCGCCGGAGTGCAAGCGGGGAGCGGGGAGCTTTGGAAGCAGTATTACGCGCCCTTGTTATTGCGCTTGGCTTGTGTGGGTTTCTTCGGACAGAGAGGGAGAACTTCTAGCATATAAAATGGCGGGAGAAGGTACTGTGTATGGTTTGTAATGTTGAGAGAACCAATGTTCTGATCTGCATGTGCTCGTATTTGGATTTAATTCCACGCTTTCATTGTACTGTAAGTGCCACTGCACCGCATCGAGTCCATGGAATTGTAGTACAGTATTGTGCATATGGACTGGGTTTGGATTGGTATTTCCTTTAGCCAATGGATTTCGACCAGTTCGCAGAATTAACAAGCATTACAGTGGTTCTGTGTAGCATTCGTTGTGGCGTGCGATTAATTTAATGAAATGACCCGGCCAATAGCGTGAACGCAACTGGTTGAAGGAAGGTTAGACTTGTGTTGAAGATCAAACGAATTTTTTTAATGAGGTTTGGGCATTTTTTTGAACAAAAAGTCAGTGTGCTACGAAGGCTTACAATTATCAGAAAATGAAAGGAAAATAGCGGAGGCCGGTTAGCGGACTGCGCGCTAAAGAGAACGACTTGTGATAGGGCACGAAGTGCGGGTGGGGCGGTGGGAAAAAGCAAGCGACGACTTGAGGGAGAAAGAGACTTGAAGGCTCCGAGGCGTCGCCTTAAATCCTACTTCCAAGGACTGTTCCAGGCATTTGGTAAACCATGCTTGAGTCGTGATGAATCTTGATTTCATGGCAGCACGGTAGAACAAATGGTGGAAGCCTCCCTTATCTCACCTTGATTCACAAATGTGTGTGTGATCGTCTAAGGTTAGACTTGTGTTGAAGGTCCCATAGGGATACGAGGTTCGGCAGGAAGATTAAGCAAATGGCCGAAAAAGAAGGAGGAATTAACGGTAGGGAGAATGCCAGCGTCCAGGTAGTACGATTCAAACGTCGTGCTGGTGGGAGACCAGTCTCCCCAAATGCGGATTCGGTAGAGTGGGACGTTGATTGCGGCACATTCAGAAGCTGCACCAATTCGTAGGGAGTGCGAGGTCCAGGAAACTTGCGGCGGCGGAGAAATCTTGAGATGAACCAGACAGGACAGCAACCATTTGGTCATACCACGCGCGGATGGTTGAAACCGTTGTCCCAAAATAGCCCAGTAATACTTGCTCTTAGAGGGAGAATTGCGCCGATAGCGGTCATATCGGAGAATCAAGTCCACGGGGGACACCGGAGCCGGAATAATAGAAGAGGGACGGCGTTTGTAGGACAGCGTGTGTGCAACAGGTCCTTGGGCCTTCCTGAGCGTGATGGCCACGTCTACGGAGTCAGGAGAGACAGAAATATTATCACATAGCAACGACGATCCAGCCTCGCCACGTTCAAAAAACAAATAGCCCGTGAGGACGGCCGTTGCGTTTCGGAGAAAAATGACGTTGGAATCCGGGATAGCTAGGGCTGCATCGAGAATTGCTCGCTCGTGCGACATCAGAAGGGGGCCCTCGACGTTCGTGCAGCGAAGTGGGGTCTTGGAGGGCTTTACGTGAGACGTCGGATTTCTTGAATGCGGCCATGGCCAACTTGAGAAGCGGAGTGTAGGGGATGAAAATTCCAATGCGGGCGTGTGCGGTGACAACCGCGCTAATGTAGTTGGTGATGGACGGAGAAGAGATGGCCCCTTCAGTGTGTAGCCAAACGAGAAAGCGAATAAGAGCGGCAGGGTCCCCTGAAAGAGGATCGATGCGCTCTACGTTGCAAAACGCGAGCCATTTCTTCCATTGGGTTTGCGCACTGATCCAGGTGGAGGGCGCACGGGCTTGATTGATGAAGCTGGCCATGACCAGGCCTCCGTTGGACGTACCGGCGCCCGCGGTACGCAGCAGTGATTCTCGCAACTTATTTTGTAAACTCATCGTTGTGTCCAAGTCGTGGGGGGAATGACCCAGATAGCCAGTTTCCACGGTGGAATGGGCGTTCCCGGGCGGGCCCAGGATGGTGGCAGGTATAGTCTGTCGGCAGTGAAGACGTGAGGCTTGCACAGGGACAGGAGCCGAGCGAACCACGATTGTGCTGGCCAGTAGGGCGTGACGAGGGTCCCTACGGCCGCTTCCTTGAAGATCTTGGTGACGGTTACGGAGATGAGTTTGAGAGGAGGGTTCCAGTAGTTGATTTCTGATAGCCCCCACGCTTGAGAGAGAGCGTCCACTGCCAGGGAGTGTGGCGAGTGGTGAGCTGAGTTGAACCGGATGCACAACGAGTTGTCCTCTGCGGCATAGCGGTCGATGGTTGGCGGAAGTTGTTGGAGCAGAGGTCGGATGGCCTCTTGGTTGATCCGCCAGTCGTCCAACGATTGGAGCCGAGAGAGTCGGTCGGCATAGCGATTGACTGCCGAGGGGAGATACTCCGACTCGATGGTTATTCCGAGGGTTGTGAGGACACGATGCAGAACTCGGAGTTCCGCCATCAATGTGGGTGATCGGGTCGTCATGGTGTTGATGATGTGCACCACGGCTTGATTGTCCTCCCAGAGCTTGACGTGGACCCCCTGATGGCGACGGAAGTGCTCTGCGAAGGACCGGACGTTGTCCGTGACTGCTCGCAACTCCAGGAAATTGATCGATTTCAACCGATACAGGGGGTCCCAGACGCCCCGAGCCTCCCAGATGCCCGGAGTGCCAGCTTGAAGATTGTAGCCCAAAGTACCCCCCTGCCCCGTTCCGGTAGAGGCGTCAGAATGTAAGGCCAGAAAGGGATTCGGCGACTGAATCAGACGATTCGGGGACAGATCCCGTAGCTTCTGCCAGTGCTTGAGATCTCTGAGGGCCGCATGGACGAGGCGGACCCTCTTCCCGGTGTGATTCGTGAGGGAGTCGTACAACGACCGCGTGTAGAAGCGGGCGAGGGGCATGTCCAGCGAACACGATACGGCCACTCCGCAGAAGTGGCGTAACAGTTGGGCGTCTACCAGGCGGCAGTTGCGGCGAGCTTGTTGGAGTAGTCGCGAGGCGACGGAATGAAGCTTGTCTAGTCGCGCCCTTGTGATGCCGAAGGTCATCTTCTGAGTATCGATGGTGAAACCGAGGTGGTCGATGCGCTGACCACCATCGCAACAGCCTTTTCCGAGCTTGCGTGAGAGGCCACACGAATCTAGCAGATTTTGAAGTGATCGGCGAGCTTGGTCCAGGGCTTGTATGGAGAGGACGGCGACCAGGAAGTCGTCCATGTAGGGGTGGATGCGAAGGCGTAGGACAGCGCGAACATGTCGCACAAATGGTCTCATGATCTTGATGAAGTACTCGGGACTTATTTTCCAACCAAATGGGAGGGCGATGCAGCGGTAATGCCGGCCTTCGAGCACAAATAGGAACCAGTTTCGGATGCCGGGATGGAGGCGGAAGTGATGATACCCCTTCTGGATGTCGAAGCTCAAAAGGTGATCCTCTTTTTGTAATTCGAGAGCGAAGCTTTCCAGGGTCTCCATACGCACTGAAGTTGAACGGAACAGGTCTGATGGCCTGGAGAGATTGACGAACAGGCGCCGTTTTTCGGTGGTAACAACGAACGCGTTTGAGATTGGATAGCCTTGGCGGTGTAGCAGCCGTCCTTCTGTCGCCGAGATCTCCTCGTAGATCTGCCGGCGCAAACAGTCGAGCATTTCTTCCTTCAACCAGGCTTTGTCTACGGAATCGACGGGAATAACGGGAAGAGCGAAGGACAGCTGTTTGCAGAGGGGCATCATGGGGGTTTCGTAGACACCGTACCGAATGGCACGTATGATGAAACCAGATGCACCCAGTGTGTTCTCCCAGTAATCGGCCGCGGACTGGGTGTTTTTCCAGAGCACTTGGGAGAACGTAGGTGGGGCCGCGGAACTCATAACTTGGCAGATTTCCCGTCCTTCTTGGCGGGGGCCCGGGCTTGCTGCTTGTTGAGTTCCTTGGCGTAGGCCGTGGCCCTGAGTTCAGCAAACTTCTTGTTGACGTTGGTGAACTCTTCAGAGGCAAAATCGTGGGTGGAGTTGTGGAGGTATTTCTGAAGAAGAATGGCCTCGTGCTTGCCCGAGTCCAGCGCGTATTTGAAAAAGTCGACACGCTCGTGCACACGCTGCTGAGTTGACACCAGGTAATGGTTGAGGACGGAGATGTAGTCGGTAACTTGGGTGAGATGCCCGGCGGCGAGAGCCTCAGCAATCTTGTGCATACAGGCGAGAGAGTTCTCCACGTTGTAACCAATGTTCCAGAGCGA